AACAGCTTGCCTAGGATCAAGGTAAGACTAACTAGCCCATAGTTTCCTGGGTCCTCCTTCCTCCCTTTTTTGAAGATTGGAACCACATTGGCCCTCTTCCAGTCCTCTGGCACCTCTCCAGTGCCCCACGAGTGCTCGTAAAGCCATGCCAGGGGACCTGCAATGACCTCGGCCAGCTCCTTTAGAACTCTAGGGTGGAGATCATCCGGACCGGCTGACTTGAATACGTCCAGCCCCTCCAGAAGCTCCCTTACTAAGTCCTCGCTAATCCATGCTTGCACACCTAATGGTACTAATATTTCATGGCACTCATGAAAGAATCTTGAGGCACCCTGGTTGACGGGGGGGGTTTGTTAATTGCGTTTACTAGGAGCCTCTGAAACCAGTGGAGTGGGAGCTAGTCATTTTTCTGGTGCCAAGACTGAAACATTTCTTTTTAAGCCAAATGCTTTTTGCCAAGTAGGGGCTGTATTGTTTTTCTTCTTTCTGTTTTGTCATTTTTGCTTGCTGTGGAGTTTTTGTCTGGAAACAGAAAACTGCTGCTGGTATCCAGAAAATGATAGGTAGCAATATTTATCAAATCATGCAGGTTGGAGTAGAGGTCATTCAAAATATAGTTTCTAAAGTGCAGAAAGCAGCGGGCAAAAAATTGCTAGCCAGAATGGTTTCCTTTCATTGCTGGTATGTCACGTTTCATAGGCTTCAAATTTCAAGATTCATCTGAGCCTCTGTTTTATTGTGCTGTTTTCCATCTCAGGTATATCATTTGGCAAGTGTGCGTTTGCGTGATTTGTGCTTAAAACTGGATGTTTCCAATGACTTGCGCAGGAAGATATGGACATGTTTTGAGTTCACATTAGTTCACTGCACTGATCTAATGAAAGACAGACATTTGGATCAGCTCCTCCTTTGTGCCTTTTACATTATGGCAAAGGTAAGGCATAAGTTTTAAGAAATATTTTACCTTTATTAGATAAGTTTAAAATATATTGAAAATTTACTTTAATTTTGATATTGGCTTGAGGGGGGAGGCAGAGGTGTAACTGGGAATTTTTGGTGCCTTGAGCAGGGGGGGAGGGAAGGAGGAGGAAGTTGTGTTTAATGCTGAAGAGTGGGTAGCGTAGGGTGCTGAGCATGAAGGAGTGTTACTGGAGACCCCAGTGGCTGTTGCTGCCATGGCACCATCTACCCACACACTGAGGCTGCTCCCTCCATTGCTGAACAAGCTTCCATACACCAATGGTGGCTGCTGCTATGGTCATTACTGCTGCCGCCTCATAGGCTCCATACATACCAGTGGCAGCTGCTTCTCAGGTTCCCAGGGGCCAACATTCTGAAAAGTGCTTTAAATTGGCACCCAGGGCTGTTGTTGTACTTGCCCACCCTGAGTTACATTACTGAAGGGGGATCCTTTCAAAATGTGATGGAACACCATTGTTCCTTCCTTTTCCCTTTACAAGACCACTTTCATAGGCCCCTGACAAACAAATTAAATGTGCAGTGGATCTAAAGTATTTTATTCCAGATCTCAAAAATTTTGTGACCTGTCATGCCAAACTTTCAAAATCTGGCATGGCAGGATGCATGATTTTTAGGATCTGGAATAAAATTCTTCTGATCCCATCATATGCCCAGACCTTTAAAGGCTTGCTGGGCAGCCTGACATTGAGGAGCCAGTCCCCAGTGCTGGGCTTCCTGGTGTGGCTTTAAACTTCCTGGCATCAGAGACTGGATTCCCAGTGCTAGATTCCCTGCACACCAGAAATTTTAAATGGGCTTTGAGGCAGAAGCAGAGATTGGCTCTGAACTTGGCTCCCTAATTACACTTTAACATGCCACACTTTCAAATTCAAGTGCAATACAAATCAGCCACATAGGTGTTCCATATTTAATGTGAACCAGCTTAGTTGCTGGTTTGCCATTTTTTACTGCATAATACATTGGTTGAACATGTGGCGTGTTACAGTTTATCTTACGATTAATTCATGAATTGTGCAATAAATGTAATGTCTGCTATGGGTCATAGGGGACAATGTTGTGCTCAGTCTCTAGAAGGGACTGCCTCATGTCGCTCATCTTTACTGACTTTCAGGTCCATACAGTAAGAAATAAGACCTAGAAAGAGCTTGGTACAGCTATGCTGAGCATCAGGCAAAAGGCTGCTGGGGCTAACATCTCTGTGAATACTTTATTTTTGGGAAAATGTTAATGTTTTCCACTGCAGCATGTTAAGGTTGAGGAAGGCAACTAGTGGTATGCATCATAAAAATAAAATATTCTGCTAGGAAATAGAGATTTGGGAAGCTTGCTCATGTTGTTTTGAAGCACTATTAAACTCACTTACATCAGTGTTCCAGTTTCATAACCCAGTTTCACTCTCTAACTCTTAGAACTGCTAGCAAATGTAAACAAAATCTGAGACTGCTGCACATTCAGGTGAAAAACTGACACCAAGGCAATACACCAGTTTAATAATGTAGCAAGGCTGTTTTAAAATGAGCTGCTCAGTGCAGCCCAGTAGGAAAGAGAAATGAGAAAAGACATTACCTATGGAATGGAATTGTCATTCAGGCATTTCATTACTGTAAGCAGTCTTTTAGAGCTTGAGGGCCTTGTTACACAGTAATATTGGGCAGCCCCTGGAGTTCTTAACTCCTGGATTGTTTGCACATTAACACCTGAAACTAATTTTAAGTAGAGGTGCACTGATATATCAGCGCCATATCAGATCAGCACCAATAAAAGGAAAATTAACATTATTGGCTTTTTTGGCCGGTGTAGCTGATAATGCACCGATAAATATAATATGCCTTCTGGCCAGGGCCCCTGGACGCCACATGTATGCATGCAAGCCACAGCATGCATGTGGGCAAGAGTGCAGCTGGGCAGCATGGAGAGCAGCACCTTGCATCTGTGGAGGGGAAGGGGCATGGGGGGCAGACTGAATTCTCACTTGTTCCTGTCCCCTACGGGCCAGATTGGGTCCACTAAACCCCTGCCCTCTCTAACACCCCAGATCCCGCTCATTGCCTACCCCTGTCCCTGTCAGCTTACATGTTGCTGCCTATACTGTATCTATTGCAGGGGAACAGGCAGGGAAGGGTTAATCTGCCTGCCCAGCCACAGCTGGGTTATCCCTTCCCTGCCTGCTGTCCTGGCACAGATTGCCACAAGTAAGCAAGGGGGGCACCCTGGAGGGCATGGGGGGAACCTGGAACGAGACAGTGGGGTGGGGGGCAGTGCATTATCTTACTTTTGTCCTCTAGGCCCCTGTTGGCCTGAAGTGTGACTGCTCCAAACTCAAGCTAGCACTAACTCCACTCACCTTACACTGGGAGGCATACAAAATGTTATCACAAGGCCCTAAATCAGTTTGGATGCTGCTGCCAATATCTGTAGAAAAATAAAACCATAAAATAGTGTGTTCCCCCTTTTCTTACCGCCAAATGCAGCAAAAAAAACCATCTTCTAATCAAGTAAGATCAAGGCGTGGCAGGCGAGTAAGGGAAAACAAAAAGGGTAATGGAAGTTGGGGATCAAGTTAGGCTGGCTATCTTTTTCAAACACCATGAAACCTAAAGAATCCATAATACAGTCATTGTTTTTCAACATATTAAAAGTTCCAATTCATGAATACTGCAGTGGAAAGAAGAGTGAGATTGCTATTCTTTAAAACAGCAGAACACCCTTCTGAAAGCCAGTAGAAGTGAAATTGCCCAGTATTGTATAATATACTTTTCTGAATCTTTTTATTTTTTTATTTTTTAAACAAAATGGGATTGTGAAGACCATGGAGAAGACAGTAGACACTTATTTAATAATTTCCTTGTTTAAATGTGTGTAAATACTCTCACAAACTCCATAGCTTACCAGTTGTACTTGTTATGAATAGTTTGTCTTAATGGGTTTTTCTTTTCCAGGTGACCAAAGAGGAAAGAACTTTTCAGGATATTATGAAAAGTTACAGAAATCAGCCACAAGCAAATAGCCATGTGAGTAAAGAACCTATTTCCTGGAGATAAATGTTCTTTTTCAAATGCATTTATATTAATGTAAAGCTAAACAGTTATTAATGTTATATGCATTTCCTTTGAACTCTGATTTCATCTAATCTTTGTACTTCCTTGTGTTCCTGAAAGCAGTATTTTTCTCCTATATACTCTAGGTTTATAGGAATGTCTTGTTGAGAAGTACTCCTACAACTGTTATGTCAGACAATAGAAATATAAACCAAGATGTAGAGATGACAGATGGTGGTGAGTTACTATGTTCTGTTATTTGATCAGCATCATAGAGAAATAGAGCTGGAAGGGATCATGAGATGTCACGTAGACCAAACCCTTACCTGAAACAGGACCATCCCCATACAGAAAATCCCATGCAAATCTATTGTTTAACCTCGTAGCAAAACTACAGTTAACCCTGACACAACACGAGACATGATGCTGTAAGACATAAGGAAATGCAAGGTCATCATGACAGCCAGTATTTTACTGCTATAACTGTTATTAATTATATATGCATGCCCCTGCTGTAGAGGAAAACAAAACCCACCACAGTCCATACCAGTCTGAGCAGAGGGTATGTTGGGTGGTTATGTATATGTCAAGGGGTGTGGAGGCAGGGTGTGGGTGTATGGCATTTGTGGGGTGTAAGGGAGGGTGTGGGCACCCCCCCCCACACACACACACACACACACACTCCCCTCATGGCACAGAAGCAGCAGGCAGGGGTGCTTAGGGCACTTGTGCCTGGTGCAGGTGCTGATGCCTGGAGGGATGCAGCTCCAGCTAGCACCACACATTGCGGTGAGGGGGTGCAGCCTCTGCTAGACCATCTCTCTCGCCAGCGCTCCCCACATGCACTGTGGCGCTGGAGCCAGCTGCCTTCCCAGCTGTGTGGGTGTGTGGTCTGCGCTGCCTCCAGCCCCAGCCCCATGCTCTGCACTCCTGCCCCTGCTGTTTCCCTACGTGCTGCATGGAGCGACCTGGAAGCAGGGGCATGTCCCCTGGGGCTGCAGCAGTGGCAGCAGAAACCCTGCCTCGAAGCTGCCTGCTGGCCAGGCGGGGCCCTTCCTCCCATGAGGGTGGGAGTGAGGTGCAATAGGGCATTTGGGGGAGGTGGCATATATATCTGGGCGCCTTGCTTGTGGGCAGGGCACAGTTTGCTGGTGGATCCCATGGGTCGGATGAAAGTGCTTGGCAGCTGTATTTTGCCCGCCCCTATTTTTAAAAGCAGATGTGCAGGTTCCCTGATCTCAGGCTTGCATTGCCCTAAATTCTTAAACCAGGAGTGAGCAGTTAGTTTGGCTGGAGGGCCACTTAATGAGTTTTGGTGAGGGGTCGAAGGCCTCAAGGGTAGCCCTGCTCCTTGACTGGTGCCCTGCCCCCTGATCACCATCATGGGACTAGAAGTCTCATCCTTAATCCCTGACCTTTTGCCACCGGAAGTCGTGTCCCGTCCTCCCCCTTGTCCCTGGAAGTATTCCTTTTAGATTGGGGGGGGAGGGGGTTGCTATCTTGGAACCAGGAAGTGAAAAAGAATAATCTACTAAAAGTAAAACATCTACTATAACGTACTTTATTTCAAAAAATATTTTTGTCATGATTTGTGCTTATGTAGTGTATATAGAGATGATGGCATAATAGCTCAAAAATAAAGTCTTACTCTTGTATATTGTGTGGGGGACTATTTGGGGTGTGATTAGAGGGTAGGTATGTGTGTATTGTGGGAGGGTTGTGGTTTATAAGAGGGTGTGGCTGAGTGTGTGGAGGTGTAGGGTACATTGCAGGGAGGGTGTATATCAGGGAGTTGTGGGGACAGGGTGTGGGTTTGTGGGGTGTGAGGGAGTGTCCTGACTTGATTCAGATTTTGTATTGGGGATGCTAGCGCACAGCCTGACCCTGCTCCCTGCTGCCATGTGCAGCTGGAAGTGGTAGGGAGCCCCACCCCCCTACTTCCCAGTGGAGTCCCAGCAGTTGCACATGTTGGCAGGGAGTGGGGAAAGCAACCACTTCATTGCATGGGGCTTCCCCACAGTGATACACAAGTGTTGGGAGCTGCGAATGTGCTGCAGGGAGCCCCATGTGATAGAGGTGGGCCAGCTTGGCTCTGCTACTTGCTGCCATGTGCAGCTCCTAGAACTTGCTGGAGCTGCATGTTGCCAGGCAGCAGCACCTGTGTGGGCAATGAGTACCTTGAGGGCGCATCACCTGCTGCTGCTGCTGCCGTGGCAGGAGGTGTGTGCACAATAGGGGGTTCCCACACCCCCCACATCCTCCCTCACACCCCCACAAATCCAATACACCCATACCCCACCCTCTCAAGCTCTGCGCTCCCTCTGCCCCCTGGGTGTAGACTCTGCAGTTCTGCCAGCCCTAACCCCTTGCTCCACGCTCCTGCCCAGGCACAGCTCCCCCTTCCCAGCCCTCACCACTTTCTTACTTGGTGCCTGGAGCAAACGTTGCAGCAGGGGCAGGAGGAGGAGATGCTGGAGGTCGGGAAGGCCAAGTAGATCCCCTAGTGGCTTCAGCAGTGACAGCAACAGCCGTGCCTGGAACCATATGTGTTGCCTGGGCTGGGCCCTTCAACACATGAAGGTGGGAGCAAGATGCACAGATTGGGCAAGGTACAGTTAATTGGTGGGTGCCTATGGGCCAAATGAAATTGTGTGACAGACCAGATCCAGCCCAGGGGCCATATTTTGCCCACCCCTGCCTTAAACCCAGGACGGTGGTATGCTGGGAGCCTGACATTGGGGGAAAGCTCCCAAACCTCAGGTTTATGGTACCTCAGAACTTTTAAAAGGCTCAGTGCAGCTCATCTGCTCCACTCCTCTTGAACATACCAGCTCCCCGTAGGCCAGTATGTTCAAAGGTTGCCAGGCATCTGGGTTACATTATATATAGAACAGCTTTGTGGCTGGTTTGTCATTTTATTGTGTCTTAAATATCTTGCATTTGTGGCATGCTACCACTTTTTGCGTGATTCAGTGCATTAATCACACGATAAATACAGTGTCTGCAGTGAGCCTGTGAGAGGTCCCCGTCCTCTTCTGGACTAGAATAAAACTTTACATCAGACTGATGCAATGAGGGCTTTTCTGGAGAAAGAATCGAGAATGGGAAGCTGGTGGAGAATGGGAAGAATCTAGAATGGGAGCTGGTGTTTGGACTGGTATCTATTTGGGGTCCAGACTTTCCCAATATTAGGCAAAACAAAAACTTCTCTCTTTCTCCCTCCCATCCCCCATAAAAGAGGGGAATTCCCCCCCCCCCCCCCCCC